TCAGAACAGGCTGTTTCTGTGTCTGTACCTTTAAATGTAAATTAGCTGTGTCTGACCACGCCCCCTCTCTGGAAGGGAGGGGGGCGTGGCTCGGGCTTTCTTGCTCCATGTCCTATTGTTTACAGTGAGAAGGCAGACTCAGAGGGCAGAACAAACACCTAGCTGTGGGAGTGTCACCCACCTGGGGGAGGGGTTACTGCCCTTTGTGATGTCATAAAGGGAAAATCTCCAAACAGCCTGTTTGAGCACACATTTTCTGAAAAATGGAACAGGGAAAAGACAGAGAGGATGGACTATTGTTATCATTGGGAGGTTTGTAGACAGACTAGGGACACATTAGTGTTAGAAAAACATGGTGAAGTGGATTTTGCAGAATATGTGACCTTTTAGGATAACACAAAGACTCAATTTGCCCTCTCCAGTCGTACAAGAAATCCTCCAGAACAAAGAAAGTCTGATCTGCTTGTGTTCAAGACATTTATGTGATCTGTTCGATCCTTTTAGTGTCTCTCAGTAGAAGACCTAAGAGCAGAAAATAGAGTACCACTTTGAGCTCACAGATCTTCTCATCCCACCTAAATAAACCGGAAACCAGCGTCATTGCGGCTTTAATCCCTCTAGAAACTCCTACCTCTTCATTGCAAGTGTAGTATTTTTAAACAGCCTGCTTTATAGTTTTTGGCCTTCCCGCTCGCCCTTCTTCAGCAGGAGCTTTTTTAATGTCTTTTGATTCTTTACAGTTGTGCACAGTTTGTGTTGAGTGATGCAGAGAGGCAGATTAGCTGCTGTTAGCGGGCTCCTCTGGTGGCAGCTGCATCTGTCACCTCCCTCTTCATCCACTTAACATTTGCCCGTTTCCATTTATCAAAGTAAAGACGACTCTCTCTGCAGCGTCTCTCAGCAATTCCCCCCCGCTGATTTCAAATGTCTCTGCTGATTTCTTTATTACCAAAACAACCGTTTTCTCTGGCGTTTCTCCTCGTTGAGGATCTAAAGCCTTCACTTATTTCTTTCCATGTCGTTAGTCTTGCAGCTCCACAGTAGTTTCTCTCCATCTGCTGTTGGTTCACGCTCTGCAGGTCTATTGCTCTCAGGAGGCGGCGTTACAAACCCTCAGAGCAGACTGATGCTGGTCACGTGTTAGAGTACAGTCAGAACATGTGTTGTATTACGTCTGTCTGAAACCTGCAGCTTACTAGAAAACCTTTTCACTTTATTTCAATTAAATCACAATTCTGAATGAAAAGGTGGAGCAGCTGTCACCTTCACAGCAAGAAGAATCCTGGTTTGAATGTTCGGGTCACTTTTCTGTCTGCATGTTGTTCAGGAGTTTGCGTTGGTTTTCTCTGGGTACTCTGGCTTCCTCCCGCAATCCAAAACATGCCTCTTTGGTGGACTTATAACTCTAAATCCCTATAAGGTGTGCACGAGTGAGTGTCAGGTTGTCTGTCTCTATATGTGTTACGAACCCGTCTAGGGGGGCAGGTTTACAACATAAAAAAAACCCGGCAAGTACTTCCTGGTCCCCAAACCAAAAGCAAAAACTAATGTTGATTAACAGAGATTTATTTCCAACACCAATTCAAACACCTATTAACAAAGAACAATCTCTAAACAAAATGAACACAAAAGAAAAAAGGCAATAAACAGCTTCTCAAACAAAAGATTTGCTCAAATAAGAAAAACACAATTCAAAGCTTTTAACAATTCTGTGACAACGTCTGAAATCTAAGTCTAAGTTGGAGGCCGAGGAATAGCGACTGCTGCTGCTGTCAGTACACGCGCCGCCCCTCCTGAGAATCCCAGCAAGCCTTATAGACGTGACACCACTCCCGACCAATGATGGCGGCGTCCTCCCTCCAGCTGGTTGAGTCCCCCAACCAATCCCCGATCTCCACCTGCAGGTGCATCAATCCTCACACGCAAAACACTCTCACTCCCACACACACCACAATACAATACACAAACATACGGCCAGGACCGTAACAATATGTCAGTGTTCAAGGTGCACCCTGCCTTTCACCCAATGACAGCTGGGCTCAGCTCCAGCCCTCTTTCAACCCTTTAGAAACTAAATGTAAAAGCTAATGCATGGATTGAATGATTAAAACATAATTGCATTTATTTTAATTTGAACATTTGGGGTTGCTCATTGGTGTTACACAATAATTATTAAGTTCTTTAAGAGCTTTTACTGCCGCTCCACACGGTCCCACTTTCAAACACCAATCACCAACAATTTCTCCTGTTTGCTCACCAGCTTTAACGAGGTATTGCTGGAATACATTAGAGCATGACCGATTAATTATCGTTGCATTATTCTTAAACATTAAAGTACAGTATGATCTAAAGTGCACATTTGTGCCTGAGCTGAATTCACAGCACCCGCAGTGCCCCCTAGTGGAGAGGGGTTTCATTATAACTAAAACAAATCAATCTCAAGATTTCCCTGAATCCATATTGAATTGGGAAAATAATAATTGCAATGTATTGATGAATCAATATTTTTAACCAGCCCTATTACACTATCAGTTCTCTTTCACCAGCAGAGGGCGCTATATGGATTACAGCAAGCATCATCACACTTCAGAATGTCGAGTGGTTATTGCACGTACATGCTCAGTTTCTTTCCAGTTGAGTGACCATCTTGTCCTCACTGTAAATATTTTCCACAAGTGTTTGATAACTGCATTTGAGGGATCAACACAATTATGTTTTTTAAAACGGGCAATATATTGATATCAGATTTTTTCTCTCCCAATTGATATCGGTATCGCCCCAAATATCTCACATCAGTCGGGCCCGAGCATTCATTCATGCAGTTGGCATATATGAACATCTACATTAGGGTGGCTGTGGCTCAGTTGGAAGAGTCGGTTGCTCTCAACTGGGAGGTTGGGCTTCGATCCCAGCTACATGCAACATGATGTATCCTTGGGAAGGACACTTAACCCCTTCATAGACGGTGTGTGAATGTGTGGATTATTCACTTCTGATGGTCACTTTACCCAGCAGCCTCTACCATCAGTGTGTGAATGTGTAGGTGTGACCTGCGGTGTAAAAGCTCTTAGAGTAGTCAGAAGATTAGAAATAGATCAAGTCCATTTATCTTCCACATTACCTGAGGAGAATATGACTTATGAAAATAGGTTAGATATTTTCAACACTCTCATCTTATGAGATCGACCTCGACACATTCAAATTGCATCTTTCATATCATGTCCTACATTATTGAAGAGAATCTGTGTATATGAAAAAATGTATGAAACCAATGGACTTATTACAGCGGCCTTAGAGATCAATGCCAGATGATCATTGTCTCTCTCTGCATGTTCGTCCTTGAGCTGCTGCTGATTTCATCTCTCTGTTAAACTCAGACGTGTTCTGTTAAAGTGATGCACAAATAGTTTGACCTGTTGCATTGCAATCCTGTAAGAATTGCCAGGATCATGATGCTTTTTCAAACATGAGAGATATTCGTCAATATTTCAGGTGTGAGATGGATGAAAGGAGCTCAAGAGAATCTGTGCATGTGTCATCCAGTTCACAACAAGACATGTCAAAGATTTGTTTTTAGGTTATTTAGAAAAGATTTGTACTGAAATACTGCAGAAATCCTGCATCAGTTGAGTTTTAAATTAGTGTTTTTCCACCTGAAGAAGTAAAACATGCTCTTTCACTATCACCAATGCAGATACAGTTTTAAAGGTTACCTGAGTCTGTTTTAGTGTCTTTCACATCTGATGTAAATAAACTTTAAATCTTGGAGTCACAAATATTTTCTGCCAAATACAGAAGAATTCTGAGTGATGAATAAATGAAATAAAGATGTGAATTTGTGCACATCATCAGAGGAAAATGAGCTGAATATGTCAAATGTTTCCCAGACTTAAAATGTTTGAGTCCAGTTTGATGTTTGTGCCTGTTTGTGTCTCCACACTGTCCTCAGTGGCCACTCTCAGCACACTCAGCCTCCATTAGATGAATCATTTGCTCGCCCATGTTCTGCCGTTCACCGTCTCAGAGTGACTTGCAGGAAGAGGTGAAGCAGCAGCCGGCTGAAAGAATGTTTAATGTCACGCTGAGACGCCGCTGCTTCCCTCTGAGCCACTTAGTCCTCTTTCAGACCGGGAGAGCATCGCTTTGGAGGAAGAACTGCTGCTAAAGAGCCACAAATGTGAATGAGAGTTTGGCATCAGAGCGGCTGAATGACTGTGTAGGAGGTCAGCGTGGCCCTCTGTGCACTCTGGATGTTTTGGAGATATCAAATGCCTGAAAAATGGCTTTTAGTCATTCAGCAGCTTCTGCAGAATTGAAAAAGTCATTTTCTAAAGTGCTTAAAGCCTCAAATTAAAGTAACATGAAGCATTTTTTAATAATGTCATTGTGTCTTATTCTGCTGTGATCCAGACGGGAGGTGGAACTTGACAACCCGTCTGATCTTGACATTCTTCTCTTTGTTTGTCTCTTTGTGTTTTGGAGCTCTGCGTCATCCAGTCCCTGTTTAGGAACATATTCATCAAACATATGAAGGGGAGGGTCTCACTGTCTGGTTTCTATTTGCACATTCTAAAAATAACTTTCAGCGTGTGAATAATTCAAAAAGGAATTGTGAGCACATTATGTCTGTGAGCGATCGTTTGGTTCCAAAAACATCTCCTGAAGATACTTTTTCAAGCCGAACATGACGGCTCTGAATCAGAAACCAGAGGGAGATTTAAAGAATGTGCATAGAAGAAAAGCATCTAACTCTGAATTATGTGGGGCTTTGTGACCATAGACTGTAAATAGTAATGGATGAAGCCTGAGTGACATCAGCCATCTGTTCCTGCAGAGGGCTCTGGAGGCTCATCAGCAGCAGCCGCCATGTTGGAAATCCTGTCTGAGTCTAACTTTCAGTCGACCTAATGACAGGCTGAGGACATAAATAGCTTCATGCATGATAAATATAATATATAAACTAAAACCTTGTTGTTGGGCTGTTGTTTTTTCCTCTGCAGGGCTTCCTGAAGAGCGAGCGAGTTTCCCGGATGGTTCAGAGCGGCGGCTGCTCGGCCAACGACTTTCGCGAGGTCTTCAAGAAGAACATCGAGCGGCGGGTCCGCAGCCTCCCAGAGATCGACGGCCTGAGCAAAGAGACGGTTCTCAGCTCCTGGATCGCCAAGTACGACTCCATCTACAGGGGGGATGAGGATATGAGGAGGCAGCCTCAGCGGGCTCACCTGAGCGCCGTGTCGGAGCTCATCCTCAGCAAGGAGCAGCTGTACGAGATGTTCCAGCAGATCCTCGGCATCCGGAAGTTTGAGCACCAGCTGCTGTACAACGCCTGCCAGGTCAGACTCACACAGACACACGTCTTTATCCATTACTGAACACACACTTCAAATACTTTCTCTACTCTGAAATAGAGCTCCGGACACATGGAAGTAAACAACAAAGACATATCTCTACATTTATGGTAGATCAGGAGACAGGAGTCCAGCTGATGGAGACAGAGCTTCTCTCCACACACATACTGTTTGTATTAAAACCATAAAGTCAGAACTACAGCCCCTCTGCTGCCTCTTTCCTCTGCAGAGTGGAAGACATACATCAAGTTGAAAACACACACACACACACACAAACACAGTGCTGCTTTATTTATCACCATGGATGCTTTGTCTGGGCTCTGCTGCTTCATCACTTGGTTTAAATAAAAGAAACAGTGTGCAGCAGCAGCCAAGTCGTACCAGAGAACCAAAAATTTAATACAGAATTGATTTAAGATTCCTCCTGCAAAAATTCAGAAAACAACATTTTTGCCCAAATGAAAATGAAGCCATTGTGGAAGTGCAAAATCCTGTAGTTCATCAAGTGTCCATTAGAGGCTGGCTCCAGGAACACAGGAAGTCACATACACACCCATTCAAAAAAGACGTTTTTACAGCATAAATAAACATGTTTACAGCCTGGTAAACAAAAAAACTAAATAGGTCTGAATAGTTATTGTCCTCATGGGCACACACTGTATGAGGGGGATTTTTTTTCAAATGGCTCGGTTTTGATTTTATGAACGATACCTGTTATACATAGTTAGGTGCGTAGCTGACCTGATTGACAGGTTGGCGTGATGTAACGGTTCATCAAGAGGCTTAAAACCCGCCTCAGCCTCCAGCTCTCAGCCTGTCGTTAGGTTGACTGAAAGTTAGGCTGAGACTGGATTTCCAACATGGCGGCTGCTGCTGATGGTGACTCTGGAGCCCCCTGCAGGATCAGACAGGTGAAGTCACTCAGGCTTCATCCATTAATATTAGCCGTCTGTGTTTTACGCACACAATAAACTTGACTCCACGTTTAAGTTTGTGTCAGTGCTACAAAAAGGTCCAAAATAATAATCCGTCAGTATTTTCACCATTTACTCAAAAAAGTCAGAAAACATATTTCAATCTGTAGGAGTGGTAATGTTATGAGTGTATGGATGAGTGTGACAGTGTGTGTGTCAAAATGAGTTCAAAACAAAAGAAGCTTCAGGTAAAGGGGGGTTGGTGTTTTCGCAGAGAGAGACTTAGCTCTGAGTCTGAAGCTTCTGCATGTGATCCCATGAGCCAGACGACCTCTTTCTCCACTCTGAGTCTGCAGGTCACACAGGATCAGTAACAACTAGACTGAAGAGGAGCTGTACCTCTGGGAATTTTTGTGATGCCTCAGATTCTCTAAAAAGAATGGACTCAGATTCATAATGTTTATACAGAAACAGGTTGTTTAAATGTGTCTTTATAAACTCGCAGCCTCTTAGCTTGAGGATTGCTTTTGACCTTTGACCCCTCCCTGCAGTATTAAAGGTTAGTCATCACACTCAGCTCATGTGTCGATCCAGTCTTCAGGCCTGACGGGTTCGGGTGTTTTTTTTCCCTTCAGAGTCGATCTCCTCACCTGCAGGGAACCTGAGACATCTCCAGTCTGCACAAACGCAAAGGTCACATTTAAAGTTCACAGAATTATCCACAGTCATCCGTTAGAGACGAGCCTGCAGACAGATTCTGAACAAGGTTTTTTTAAACCCTGTTGTCTCTGCCTTTAAATATTCTGTCTTTCTCGTCTTTGTTTGTATTAGTGTGTTGATTCTGCATGTCATTCTTTAGACCGTTATTGTCCGAACTGAGGTATCAGTAGTTGATGAGTAGCCCTCTAATATAGAAAAAGTAGCTCCCCCTCCTATTGGCTCAAGGTTAATTCTCCAGAGAATATTCTGCTGCATTCTCACATCAGCTCACTCAGATTTATTGTGGGAAGATTACTAGGGGTCTGTCAGGAGAATCTCCGGGTGGAGTCTGAGTTTTCCGCAAATGTGAAAGACCTATAGGAGGTTTTTTTCTCTTCAAAACAAAACAAATGAAAGCCCTGTTCAATGTTTGTTAGATACTTTTTTCTGTTTATTTGCATGAACAGATTTTAAAGACCTTTTCCAGAAGTCTTAACAGTTTTTGAATAAAACTCTACAGAGGGAAACAGCACGTCAGTAATCCTCAGTGATGATGATGTCTCTCTTCTGTAACGAGCTCTGAACATAAATAGCTCCAGTTATAGATTACTTCACAGCCCATTGAGACATCATCCTCGCCTGGGTAACAACCAGAGTGTGTCTGTTGCCAGGACAGATTCTATTATTGTCCTGCTTCATTAGAGGCCTGAGGATGAGGAGAAGAAGAACAAGAAGAAAGGCGGGAGGGGTAGAGGGAAAGAAAAGAAAAGAGGACTCCATTTTTGAACAGCCACCTGTGATTCCAGGGTTTCATTTATCTCTGACATGATTCACTGTCTGCAAAGACTGGTTCATCGCGGAGTGGATTTTGTCATATCGCTCAGTTTATAATCCTATTTTGATGTTTGGCCTTTTTCTGCCTTTATTTACAGACAGGACAGTGGATAGAGTCAGTAATCAAGGAGAGAGAGAGAGAGTGTGGGAAGTTACATGTGGGGAAAGAGCCACAGGTCGGACTCAAACCCGGGCCGCCCACTTGGAGAACTACAGCCTCAGAACATGGCGATTGCACTAACCACTAGGCTACCGACGCCCCTATAATCTTATTTTAAATCATATCAGTAAAAACTGTAAAAATTTATATCATAATAATTAGGGCTTAACTTGCTCCGGGCTAAGAGCTCAGACAGATTTCTAGCATTCAGACAACTTCAAACTTTAATAATAAAAGTCAACTTATTAACATTAAAGTCGTTTTTTTGTCGGGCTTGGCCCCATCAATACAGTTATTGAGATGGGCCGGACCAGGTCTTAGAGAACTTGCACGGGTTGGTCCAGGTCTGAGAGAACGTGCACGGGTTGGTCCAGGTCTTAGAGAACGTCCACGGGTTGATCCAGGTCTTAGAGAACGTGCACGGGTTGGTCCAGGTCTTAGAGAACGTCCACGGGTTGATCCAGGTCTTAGAGAACGTGCACGGGTTGGTCCAGGTCTTAGAGAACGTGCACGGGTTGGTCCAGGTCTGAGAGAACGTCCACGGGTTGATCCAGGTCTTAGAGAACGTCCACGGGTTGATCCAGGTCTTAGAGAACGTCCACGGGTTGGTCCAGGTCTTAGAGAACGTCCACGGGTTGGTCCAGGTCTTAGAGAACGTCCACGGGTTGGTCCAGGTCTGGTCTCACCTAATTGAGATTGAATTAGGCTCACAGTTTGCCCAGTCTGTGTTCGGTCACCGCTCTGAGGTGCTCTTGAAACCCCACCCAGGGGTGCTGAGGTAGTACAATCCACCCACAGTCATTACAGTTCAACACTAAACCAATCTGTTTTTAAAATTTGTGTTAGGTCAGTCGATAAAAGTGAACGATTGTTGGAGGTAATCAGCTGGTGCTCTGAAGTCGCTGACCACAGAGTCTTGCAGATGCAGAGTCACCTGATCCAAGTGGATCCTGTTTAACCAGACCTCATACAACCCCTCTTCAATAATACAGAGCTAGCCCTTTAAATGAGAGGATTTGTAATCAGCTGTGCAAAAAGAAATCATGACTGACGTCTGATGTTTTTCACATTCATGGATGTGTGAGTCCTACTGGAGGTAGAAATGTTTGCATCGTGTCTTGAACAAGTTATGACTCACATATGGATGCTGGTGCAACAAATGGACCTTTTAGGGTTTAATGTGAACTCTCCTCCTCCAGCTGTTTGTCTGTTAATGTGTTTTCTAAGGCGCTCTAGCAGCACTTCAAATAATGTATCACATTTTTCTTTCCATGCATATTAGTGTCTTTATTTCTCCAAGAGTCCGGTGATCTTAGTCTGCACGTTGCCCCCCCCCCCCCCCCCCCCAAACACCCTCTTTAAAGCTGAGTGTGAATGCACAACATCATTTAAATGCAGTGTGACATGAACCACAGGGCACATGTTTAATTAAAGAACCAAAACTCTGCAGAGGCGTGATGTTGGTAAGAATGCAGTTTTTTGTTTTTTTTTTTTTTTTTAAAGTTTGCACAATTTCACATGAATCTGCTCAGGAATAAACTTTAAGAAACATCTTGATAAGTTGTTTTAGGTTTTAGTAATCGCCCGCTGGACTTGCAAACACTCGAGGGTGCACTTAGAAAACCAATATTCATCCAATCAAATCTTTTCAGGTGTACGTTCTGGCTTGTTTGGATCTTTTATTCATGGATGTTATCACCAGAAGCAGCGATGTACAGCGGGCTGTGGAGCGGGTCTATTGATTCCTGCTGTGTTTTCTGTCTGTATGTCGTCTCTCATTAGCTTTAAGAGGCCGGCAGATGAAGCTTTAATAAATTACCAGCAGCTCTCTGCCCACAGCCGCGACACAAACGTCTGCAAGGCTGTCTGAAAATCTGCCTGGAACTCCTCCTGTGGTGTTTAGACAGCAGTTTTACATGACAGGTGTTTCACTTTTTCAAACCAAACCAAATGTTGTTCAGCATTTTCAGCGCTCAGCGTCCAGAGCACTAAATTGCCCTCGTCGTCAGCTGTTTTTTGTTGCTGCGCTCTCAGTTGAAAACACTTCAACTTTTGGAACTCTGCCGCGCTCATCAATGTCACATGTCTCTCACCGACCAATCACAATCAAGATGGGGCGGGACTTACAGCATCAGCTCCACAACAATGGTGGAGGAGATGCTAGTCTGATTTGTCTTTTCATGTTTTCTCGCTGATCTTTCCTTGAATTAAATGGACTTGAGCTTGTATATTTCTTTTCTAGTCTTCTGACTACTCAAACCGCAGGTCACACCTACACATCAACACTATGATGGTACATTACAGAGGGGAGAATAACTTTTGCAACCTATAGCAACAATGAGTGCTGGTGAGAAGCGGGGTCTGTTAAGTATAAGAGGCTGAAAACAATGGCTGAAGTGAAATCTAGGACGTTGAGCTTTTTGTGTGATGACAGTCTAGCTTTTTAGGCATCCCCATGAACAATTTTTTTCTCATGAATGCAGACAAATATTGAGATATCGACTGAGTCTAAGCTCCAGTCTTGTGTCACAAGAGAGAAAACGTGTATTTTTTTGTCATTAGTTGATTTTGGTACCAAACAGTTCTGGGACTTTTTAAAGAGGAACTATCCATTCGGGAGTTCCCTGATAACTACACATCATGGGGACTTTTTTCTGTCAGCATTCACACTGCCATGATACCTACTCTGAAGCAGGAGCTAAAAAGGTTCCTCTTAAGGGGTTCATAGTTCCTGCTGGGTGGGATCATTAAAAACGGGGAGGGTTCAAACAGTTCCTAGAACTATGAAAAAGTTCCTGCGGTTCTGAAAACACAGATTGAAGCCGAATCTGCAAATGGTTCCTGTATTTTGTGGAGTCCCCTGAGGTGCGCCATTAAACGTCGATCAATTTCAACCCATTCAAACCAAAAACAATGATGATTGATATTTGGCTCAAATCGAAACATTTTTCTGACTCTGATGTTGCAGATTGGTCACCCCAGAAATCCCTTCATATTAAGTCTCTTCAGCCGAGCACACTGCCGCAGTCTGCCACACCCCCCGTAACGATCAGTCAGAAACTCAACTATCTTTAACATGACACTCTGTCCTCCACGTCTTTTTAAGTCATTGTCTAACACTTCTTCTGTGTGCACATCTTTTTACTCTGACAAGTCAACACGTTGCAGAGACTGTAACAGCGTCCTGTGGAGAATGGTTGTCATAGAAATGCTCAGAGGCAGAATTAGAAAGGCTGCCAACAAAGATCACATCACAGCAGTCATGGTAACAAAGTGTGTGTGTGTGTGTGTGTGTGTGTGTGTGTGTGTGTGTTTGATATGTCTCTGTGTGTGTGCGTGATACGCGTCTCTGTGAGTGTGTGTGTGTGTGTGAGATACGTCTGTGTGTGTGTGATATGTGTGTGATACACGTCTTTCTGTGTGTGTTTTAGCTCGTTAATTTTAGCACATGCAGCCAAAGAGGGTGTGTCTGTATTGTTTTTAATGCTCACTTTAATTTCTGATTATTTAACAGCTGGATCTGTTTACATCTTTCTCCAATCTTGTTTCCTTTTTTTTCACTGAACTTACATAATCTGTAATTGTTGATGCACTGATTGACTTCCACTGACAATGCGAACATTACATGTAGTGTATATTTTCAGCAATGCTATGATGGTCCTTCACCTCCCTGCCCTCCCGTCCTGGTTCACAGTCAGGTTTCTGTGAGGTAATAAAACCAGCAGACGAGGGGTCGATAATTCTGATCAAGTTCAAGTAACTATAAGCATCTCAAAGTCTGGGACAGTGTCTATGGAGTGGCAGACCACTTCTCAGCCTTCCAAGAAAAGCTTACTCTCAGGTGCTGGAAAGGAGGCTCCGGCCGATTGTCGAACCTCGGATACAGGAGGAACAATGTGGATTCCGTCCCGGCCGTGGGACAGTGGACCTTGCTTCTCTACTTAGTCATCTAGTTTGTAAACCTCTTTGTGCAACAATTAACTGACTGTGAGCTCCGTTATCTCAGAACACTTAATTAGATTTGAATGTAATTAACAGGAGACGCTACCAGGAATGCAAAGTACCAGTGTGCAGCATTACACCAACTGATTGATGCCCGACGCACACATGAGCACAGACAAACTGTTGCTGAAAAACACATTCATCATCATCAGTATGAAGAAGAAGCAAGGTGCATTCATTCAGAGAGAATGATTCAGGAGAGGTTCTATCGACCCGTTTGTAGACTTTATGTACCTAAAAGTAAAATACAGAAAAAATGTTTGAGGCTGAGGAGAAGAGAATTTGCATATGACTGACTTAAGACCTGTGGTTCTCACCTTATCCTGCCTCAGGACCCACCACCAAATTGGACCCAAATTTCTGATATTTTTAGACCAATCAGATTTATTTACAGTCGGCACAAAACATGTGACAAAAGCAGGAAACTGAATAAAACTAACATTTTTAAAAAGTGCTTCAAAGACTTTTTTACACAAGTTTTTTTCCAGGCACACATTAGCGACCCTCTGAATATGGCTCTGCGACCCACCTCTGGGTCCTGACCCACCAGTTGAGAACCACTGCTTGAGACCATAAAACCCTTAGAAAACTGTTGACTTCGGTAATAAATAAAGTGAGAAGTAGCTTGTTTTCTCATCTTGTTTCAGTCAGACTTCAATAACAAGCAGGGAAGTCGCCCCCTGCTGGAAAGATTTCAGAATTACAGCATTACTCCATCCGCTTTTCTCAGAGGCTCCGCCCACTTCTTATACACTTTATGGTATGAGTCAGTTGAAGAACAGGACGAGGAGAGTTCTCCAGCTGAGGGCGTGGATGTAGTAGTCAGCCTTCAACAGAAGGTCAAAATGTGCGAGTCAGAGATTAAATCAGTCCAGGACAGGAACTTGTGAAGTCCAGGACTGGCGGGTCTCAAGCTGACTGTTCAGCTGTAGTTTTCATCTCCTGCGCCGCGTTTCTCTCCTCAGCCTGCAGCTCTGATAACTCGTGAGCGTGACTAAAGCAAGTTTGTACTCTGTAAAAGAGACACTGACTGCAGGTTGTTAACTGATTCTCTCTGACTCATTTTGGAACAGAGTCAAATTAAACAGCTTATCTCTCCTCTCTCTCTTATCGCCTCTGAAGGTTTTAGCTTGTCTCGTTCGCTCCAGGCTGAGCTTCCATCACGGCCGTTTTATCTCTGATTGTAATGTAGACGCCTCTGCTCATCACAGAGTGGGGAAACGAGACGAGGCTTTTCTGCAAACTAAGCAAACCCGATCACTTTTTTACCCTGCTTTCATCTCCTCTTTGAGACTCGCTGACATCGAGTTTAACAGACGGCTTGTCGGCTGATCTCTGCTCAGTGTGAAGCCGGTGAACAGGAGTTTCATATAAAGAATCTTACATATAATAATATACATATTTCCCTCCACCTGTCAAGTTAGGAGTCAATGCAAAGCTCAGAAAATCAAAATACTAGGACACATCAGCAGTCTTTGTTTTGAAAGGTCTTTTAAAAGCCCATATTATGCCCTTTTTGGGGTTCGTATATTTACCTCCACGTGGGCCAAGTCTGCTCTGATTGGTCTGCCAATTCGCTCTGTCGTTATTGGTCAGTTGCTCAGCACGCTTCTCGGAAATTTCAACATGAGCTGCAGGGCTTGCCACAACGAGCCAATGGACTTAGATCAGTGATCTCACACTGACAATGACGCCGCACTGAAAAGTCCGCGGGAACCCGGCTTCTCCTACGTCCTCCTGTTATCTGTAGCATTAGCTGCATGTAACGCTCGGTTCTAGCCCCCCTCGATAAGAATTTGTCAGTGCGACGTCATTGTCAGTGTGAGATCACTGATCTAAGTCCATTGGCTCATTGTGGCAAGCCCAGCAGCTCATGTTGAAATTTCCGAGACATGTGCTGAGCAACTGACCAATAACGACAGAGCGGATCGGCAGACCAATCAGACTTGGCCCACATGGGGTCTAACAGTGTGGGCTCAACAGAGTGCAGCTGACGGACTCAGAGTAGAGGGAGCTAGGAGGAGCAGTACATGAAAACAGACACTTTTTTCGGACTTTAGCTATTTTGAACGTACAAAAGTAGGTACATAGATTAAATATAGGGCATAATATGGGCTCTTTAAAGTAGACATTTTATAAAAAATCCACTTGTACAGTGTTTTTGAACATACATTTGGGTAACCTGAGTGTCTACTGACCCACAAAATGTGAAATAAACCCATCCATGCCTTTGTTTGTGGTCTGCATAAGTCTTACAACAGAGAAAAATGCTCTGTTTCTCCTTGTGATGTCACAGTGGGATTCTGGTAAAAAATCCCCTCCCCTCCCCTGGTATCTCCACCCATGGACTCAACCCCCAGCCTAGAACAAAACTTTTGCACATGTCCGCCATTTTTATTCTCACTAGTGAAGGAGTGATGTCTACCAGGAAAACTCAGGGGGGGCTCATTGCATTTAAAGAGACACACACAACAAAACGGAGCGTTCTGAGAGAGCTGGTTTATACAGGGTCACAAACCTCCTCCTCTATAAGATGACATCAAATCGAGCCTGCAGAGTTACATCCTTGTTACCTTTGTCCCTTTAAAGATAGGGAGTTGAATCGTGTCAGCCTCTAGATATTGATTGTTTGATTTTATTTACAGATTATTGGACATAATTGGACACAAAAACCTAAAGGTCAAATATTATCCTGCTTTTTCCAATAAGTCTCAGAGCTCCCCAAACATGTGTTTGAAGTTTCTTGTTCTAAATCCACTCTGATCCTGTATTTGATCATGTCTATAAAGCCCTCTATTTCAGCCCTGCTCAGAACAGGCTGTTTCTATATCTGTACCTTTAAATATGTAAATGAGATTCTATGGAGTGAGAGTTTTTTGGAACAGCATCTAGTGGACATCAGAGGAACTGCAGCTTTCACTTGGATCATTTCTGTTCTGTAAATTGATGGAGAGGATTTCCTGAGGTCGTCTTAGACACATGTCTGAACTTTCTTCTTAAACCCCTCGGGGTAAATGATCTCCCTCACTTTCTGAGTGGTCGATTAACCCCAAAGCTCTCTGATTGGCTGACTGATGATACTCTTCCTCTTTTTTCTCTTCACAGCTGGATAACGTGGACGAGCAGGCGGCTCAGATCAGGAGAGAGCTGGACGGAAGGTTACAGCTGGCCGAGAAGATTTCCAGAGTGAGAAACACATTTTTTTTAATCAATAATGCAAACAGAACTTTTTAGAAAATCAGATACTGTTCTTCCCCCTGGTGGAATGACAGCATCACTGAGGTCTTAGTATTGGCTTGTAATATGTTTCTACAAATGTTTATCTGGACACGTCGGGTGAAGGTGACTAAAGAGGTGTAGTAAGTTGGTAAAACATGACTTTTTACAGTGTAAAAACCGGCCGTTTTTTCTAACAAACACGAGTGCATGAATGTGTTAAAGTTGCTCACCTATATGTGATGTTGACCTCTGTGTCGATGGCTGCTCGTCCTTCCTGCAGGAGAGGAGATACCCGAAGTTTGTCTCTGCAGACATGGAGCCTCTCTACGTGGAGGAGCTGCGGTCGTCCGTCAACCTGCTCATGGCCAACCTGGAGAGTCTGCCCGTGTCTAAAGGAGGTCCGGACTTCAAACAGAAACTCAAACGCTCCTCCCTGAACAACTCCTTCTTAGACATGGGAGACGAGGGAGACATCCTGTCCAAGTCTGACGTCGTGCTGTCCTTCACACTCGAGGTTTGTTGTCAAATAGTTTGAAGTCAGGATAATTTTCTTAAACTGTTGAATGTTTAATTTGATTTTAACAAACCTTCTTTTAGCTAATAAGCACTCTTTAATAGTCTAAATTCGACACATTTAATCATTAAGGTCCTCTGAAGACACCTTTGTGTTTTTATTTTTATTTTAGATTGTGATCGTGGAGGTCCAGGGTCTGAAGTCTGTGGCTCCCAACAGGATCGTTTACTGCACCATGGAGGTGGAGGGAGGAGAGAAGCTACAGACGGACCAGGCCGAAGCCTCCAGACCACAGTGAGTTCTGTTTCTGAGAAAAACTTATTTTTCTCTTTAAATACACACAGAGAAACTTCATCTCTGCAGCAGCTGAAAGAAAAAGTATACCTGTTGAGTCAGACTCTGCACAGAGTGAAGGTCAACCATCCAAACACATTTATAACTGTCAGGGGAAATGTATAGAAAGAGGCAGCTTTGTCGAGCCTTTAAACATCTCATAGAGTGGTCTAATGTTGATGTAAAAAATCGAAAAGACTACAGCCGACGGCTAGCCACCACGTACGTTCTGCACGTGTTAGAGGAAATAACTCTCCATGCCAGCAGGGAGCAGTAGTCCGTTGTTATGATAAGAGAAGACCATTTTCACTCCGCTGTCGCTCACCACTCGTATTATAGGTAGCCTACGAATAGAGAATAATGTCTGATGAAAAGTTGAAAATGGCGCTGGCATTGTCATCCCTTGGTCTTTTAGTGGAAAAAGAAAAGAAGAGGCGGAGGAGACAAATAAGGAGAAACCGCACCAATGGGGAAGCATGGATACTACAGCGGCATGCTCAGGGGGCTTTCCCGAACCTGAGAGCTGGAGAGAAATGAAACCTCCCAACAGCCAATCAGAGAGATTCATCTCACCGACGCCGATTCAACATGTCGAATCTGCGTTGCGTTGGTGGTGCAGTGGTTAGTGCGTGTGCCCCATGTATGGAGGCTGTAGTCCTCCAAGCGGGCGGCCCAGGTTTAAATCCGACCTGTGGCTCCTTTCCTGCATGTTATTTCCTACTCTCTCTCTCCCTGATTTCCAACTCTATCCACTGTCCTATCTCTCCATTAAAGGCACAAAATCCGCCCCCCCCCCAAAAAAAACCATGTCGAATCTGTCAAAGAAAGGCCGACGGGTTGCGACACACCGCAAAAACCAAGGCGACGACTCCAGTTAGACCGTCGGCCGACGATCTCCTTGGTGTGTCAGGGCTTTAACAACCACCTGACTCCCAGCCAATACCATCACACTGTGTCGTCCCCACAATCACCGCCGTCCTCATTCATGCACGTCCTGCTCCGACCTCCACCTCAGCAGCAAAGAAGTGTGGACAACAGGAACGCCAGGAATACAAAGAAGCATATTATCCCACATGCTCTTTTGTAAAGCATCTCCAGATAACACTTGATTAGAACACACTTATTGTTGTTATTTTGATGTTGTTGGTTGCTATTTAAGTTTCTGTTGAGACAAATCCAACACAGCATTCAGAACATGTTGCCAGTCTGCTCAGCCTCCTCTCCTGACTCCTCATTGGATTATCGTCTGAGTTTTCGGAGGTGAAATGGTCCTTAACACACTTACCTGAAGCTGAATCACCGCAGACTCACAGCTTTGAAATTCAAACGGCTCTCCGTGGATCGAAGGCAGAAAACTCCACTTTTATACATAACGGGAGAAGTGACCCTCAGCTTCCTCAAACAGCGATACGACCTGCCTGGAGCCATGCTGCTTATTCTTCAGCCAAGGCTGATGCAGGGAGAAGATGAGGGTGTTATGTAACAAGTGATGGGAGTCAATCGGCCTTCAGCTCACACACACACACACACACACACACACACACACACACTGAGTTGAGAGCATCTTTATATTACCTTACCTCAAACTCTACAGGAAGAAGATTTATGAGCGGGTACAGAGACCGAAATCCAACATTATCAGAGGAGAAACGATGAATCGTTCCACGACCAACAGGACAAAGGAACTTTTATTATAGATCTCAACATGTTTTAAAGAAGATAAAAGTGGATCCAGGCTAAAAGACTGGAGGAATGTGAAAACTGTGGGATCCAGACACGTCATCGTTTGTCCAGGTCAGCGTTCATTACAGAAACAAAAAACAGGACAAAAAATGTTCGTCAACAAACATCTCTCCAGGATAAAGACGAGACAATAAAGTCTTTGGTATTTCAATGAGACTGGACTTAAACGTTAGTGGTGGGACGTTTGGACATTGAAACTATTTTTCTCCACGGTGCGTTTAATGCGTCAGTCCATTTACCTCAGAAGTCCAATATCACTGCTGGGAATGACGTCTCACCCGAGTTGATCAAGATCCAGTTATGAGTATGTCAGAAGTCAGAAAAGCAACATGGAAGCCTCCAGGAGTACCCTTGTTGTGTTAGCTAATACGATGTGAAAACAGCACAGAATGTGAGAGTTTGCGAACAACATGTCCACAGATAGAACTTACACAATACTGTCGGTTTGATTGATTTAATTACCCGCAAAAACAAGACATAGCTGCCCACTTTTGGGTCCCGACCCACCAGTTGCCGCCCCAGTAATAGCTCTCTTCACACAGTATGAAAGTTCTCCGCTATAAGGAAATATCCTTCATTCAAAGAATTTTTGCAAGAGTGAAAAAAAATCTGAGGCCATAATAGTTGGTTTGTAACAGTCATTAAGAGATTTAATGTATTGAAGCCTTTGAGGGACTTGTTACTTTCTGCTGCAGCAACATAGATGACGTGCATTAGATGTTTGAAGTACTTATAATTTAGAGTTTTACACCATGCCGGCTACTCTCAGGAACTCATTGCTGTACATTCTGTAGCAGTTTGTTGGTCGTTGGATGCTCGTTGAACAGAGGGGGTCGGTACAGTAACGAGGCTGCCCTTTCACATGCTGCTTGGGCGGGTCTTTTTTCTTTTCTTTTCTTTTCTTTCTGTCAGCCGTGAACTCCGCCAAACAGCCAATTAGACGAGCTCGGCGTCACCTGAACCCCTCTGTGGTCACGACGGATCCTCTGCTGTGAGCCGACTTCACTGCAGCTTGTGTAACCTTCATCATGATTACCCCGCACCCTTCATCTCTAATAACGACGGCGCACACTTAATGACATTGTAGTTAACTTTAATTACACAGACAACATGATTAGCTGTGATTACACCGTCGACCAACCGCTCCGATGAGACCTGCACTCGTAGCGTAACAGCTCTTTAATCCTTGAGGACCTTTGTATTAAGAACATATTTATTTATTTGAGGATGTCAAGCACTGTTTCTTCATGTTTATTACAAATCTAGTACTCTCCTTTTAATCATGTTCCAATCAGCTCAGCGTGTTGTACTGGTACATGCAGAGGAGAAAAATAACTTCCTTCTTCCATTTACGTCAACTTTAAAGTCTCCTGCTGCAGGGCTCCTCCATACTGACTGTAAATATTGAAGTATGAAGCCTGAGTGTCGTCATCCGTCTGTTCCTGCAGGGGGCGCTGGAGTCCCATCGATGGCGGTCTCCATGCTGAAAATACTGTCTCAGTCTAACTTTCAGTCAACCTAACGACAGACTGAGAGCTGGAGCTGAGGCGGGTTTTAAACCTCCTGACAAACCGTTACACTGCGTGCACCTGTCAGTCAGGTCAGCTACACGCCTAACTATGGATGAACATGTATCGTTTATAAAATCAAAACTGATGTTTTTTTTTTTAACCATGTTAAACATGTTAACTTCTGCTGTAAAAACAGGCTTTTTTGAATGAATGTGTATGTGACTTCTGGGCTCTTGGAGCCAACATCTAGTGGACACTCGATGAACTGCTGGATTTTGCATTTGTGCATCGGCTTTTTAACACCGGAGGTTGGAGTTTTGGCTCCTCACACAGTATTCAACTCCTTTCAGAAAATGTCTTGAAAAATGAAGCCAATGCAGAGGTACAAAATCCTGCAGTTCCTCGAGTGTCCACTAGAGGCTGGCTGCAGAAGCACAGGAAGTCACATACACACCCATTCAACAGCAGAGATTAACATGTTTACAGCCTGGTTAAAAAAAAACAAATAGGTCTGATTGACAGGCGGGCGTGATGTTCTGGTTTCAAGAGGCTTAAAACCCGCCTCAGCTCCAGCTCTCAGCCTGTCTTTAAGTTGACTGAAAGTTAGACTGAGACAGGATTTCCAACATGGTGGCTGCTGCCGATGAGCCTCCGGAGCCCCCTGCAGGAACAGATGGGTGACATCACTCAGGCTTCATCCATTATTATTTACAGTGTATGATCGAGACATTAAAAGATGCTTCTCACAGTTTCTATCATTATTTTTAATCATTCTTTAGGTTCAGTCGGAGACTCTGGCAGTAACTATACTTGTGATTTCACCTTGAGATGTCTGCCTGTTTTTAAGACTCTCTTGTTGTTTGATTCTTCAATGAATCAATGAATCGATTTATAGTACCAAATTACAAAATGACACAAAACCAGCAGGCCTGATTCTCAATCCAAGCTCTAGAAACAAAATTAGCCAACAGATTAATCCATGCTCTCAAACATTTCAGGATTGTCTTAGAAGTGGGCGTAGTCACCATGACATCACTCGTTAGCTTTTCAGCTTCATAGTTTGCACTTTAGCAGTCACCATTTTGGTTTTCAGGAGACAGAAGTGACCATATATGGAGAAATGGGTTGAGCTGTTGAGGAGTGAAGAGTTAGCAAAAACTTAGCAACAGGCTAACACAGGGGAGCTGGGGTTCCTAAACTTTGCCACTCCAAGAACCCTTCCTAAAACCATAGCCTCAGACAGGGACCCCCACCTTTTAAAATGACTTAAATTCATTTCCTGGTAGTCTTTTTCTATTTAGAACAATTTCAGCGGCAGGCAGTGATTCTGATTGGCGACAGTCGTGTGTGTTAATTTGCATTGGAAAAAAATGGACACACAGATTCCGATATGCTGTCATGAATAACATCTGAAAATACATTTTAAAATAATGTCACAAATATTGTTGATTTTTAATTTTCTTCCATTTTACCCCTTCTTCCAATTGTCCACAACCTCAAAAAAAGTGTTTCTGTACTTCCTTGCATGAACAGAAAACTCATCAGATTGTCTTGTATGTGTCTGTGCAGCTCTAAAGAGGATATTTGTGTCTTCAGGTGGGGGACTCAGGGGGACTTCACCACGACTCACCCTCTGCCCTCGGTCAAAGTGAAGCTGTTCACAGAAAGTACGGGAGTCCTGGCTCTAGAGGACAAGGAGCTCGGCCGGGTGAGTCTTTAACTTCACTTTATCTCCCAACAAAGAAGAAACACAATGAAAAAAACAGCAACTCAGAACATGTTCTTTTATGTAAGACCTCAGTCAGGTCGCTGCCTGTATTATAAGATAAGATGTACTTTAATTGTCCACAGAGGCACAAATGCATTTAACTTAAGTGAAAGCACACAGCTCTGTGCAACTTACAAAAAACAAGGACAACACAAGACAGGACAACCATAAAAACACATTAAGTGACGCTTAAAAACATAATAAATATGAATAAGAAGACCAAAGGCTGACATGAATCTAAAAACTTAAAGGTCACATATTATGCAAAATACTCTTCACCATGTTGTTCTAACACTAACATGTGTCTCTAGTCTGTCTACAAAACCCCCAATGATTAGAAAAGTCCATCCTCTCCATCTTTTGCCTGCTCCACTTTTCAGAAAATGTGTGCTCAAACAGGCCGTTTGGAGATTGGAGATAAAAAAGGCTGGTGAACTCACTGAAGTGACCTGAAGGAGTAAAGGAGCAAAACATCTTCAAAGCGATCAAAGCGAGTCCTGTTGCCTTTGACGTAACAGATGTGTTTATGAATCCATAAGCTGGATCACTGAGAGTCTTTAAAGACTAATTACAGGAGGAGCAAAACAATCTTCAAAGAGGATCAGAACCGCTGAGGAGGGGCTCATCATGATATCAAAAAATCATCTGTAACTTCCCCTGGAGAAAAGAAACCAGCACTGAAGGGGTTATCTCTTAATTATTGACTGATTCTGATTGGACAGTGCAGGACAGAGAGCTGCAGGATCAGCTTGAGATGTAAGCATGAGTCCTGGGTGTCATGATTGATGACCAGCTAACTTTTAAGGTTCAAGTAGCCTCGATTGCCCGGTCATGTTGATTTGCCCTGTACAACATCAGGAAGATCAGATCTTACCTGTCAGAACATGCTACACAGCTCCTGGTTCAGGCTCTTGTGATATCATGCATCGACTATTGCAACTGTCTACTGGCAGGTCTTCCCACATGCAATATCAAACCTCTGCAGATGATACAAAATGCAGCAGCACGACTGGTCTTCATCCTCCCTAAAACAGCACGTGTCACTCTGCTGTTCATCTCGGTCCACTGGCTCCCAGTTACTGCTCACATCAAATTTAAAACTCTGCTGCTCGCTTACAAAACAGCGACAAAAACGGCTCCTCCTTACGCTAACGCGCCTTTCATCGCTAGATGCCAGCCGATACTAAAGAGAAGAAGAAAATGACGACAAACAGCCAATCATATCGCAGGGATATGGGTAAGCGTGCTTACAGACGCTCGGAGCGGAATGAAAATACAGCCGAAATTAGCGATCGCGGCACTGAAGGAAACGCTGATCCTTCCGACTCAAAGCAGGAGAAAACACAGCCAACAAGACGACAAGAAAGGCTGCTCAACTTCCGGAGTTTAGAGACATTTTGGCTCTTTACAGTCCGACAAACACAGAAGGGCTCTGTAAACTGTGCCGAAGAGAATTGAAGCTAAAACAGCTAATACTCACTTTTCCCCCATTTGAAACAATATGACCCATTAAAACACACCGAAGGAAATAGATATCCAAACGTCCAAAACGAGTGTTAGTGTGGACCGTATTGTAAATAATATAAAAGATAAATATAAAGATAAAGATAAACTTTATTGATCCCCGTGGGGGAAATTTGTGCATTACAGCAGCTCCAGAAAACAGGGGACGGGAATATATTTATTAAAAATAAAAGTAGAAGTTAAAATCAAATCAAACATATTTGCATCAGTTAAATAAAAAAATACAATGATGTAAAATTACACAGTAACTAAGGGATTTGTTCTTAAAAAACACACACAGTGTGTAGCATGAGGTGGTGATGTTGTTAAAGAGTCCGATTAAACAGTCTGACGGCAGATAGGATGAACGACCTGAGGTAGCGCTCTGTCTTGCAGGGTGGGCGTCTCAGTCTGCTGCTGAAGGAGCTGCTCAGGGCCCCCACAGTGTCATACAGGGGGTGAGAGGGGTTGTCCATGATGGATGTCAGCTTCACTAACATCCTCCTCTCACCCACCTCCTCTACAAAGTCCAGAGGACAGTTCAAGGCAGAACTGGCCCTCCTGACCAGTCTGTTCAGTCTCTTTCTGTCTCTCTCTGTGCTCCCTCCTCCCCAGCAGACCACTGCATAGAAAAGTGCAGACGCCACCACAGTGTCATAAAAAGTCCGTAGCAAAGTCCTGCACACTCCCAAGGACCTCAGTCGCCTCAGCAGGTGAAGTCGAATGACTTTCTTGTACAGGACGTCGGTGTTGTGTGACCAGTTCAGTTTATTGTTGAGGTGAACACCCAGGTATTTGTACGTCTCCACCCTCTTGATGTCCAAGCCCTGGATGTTCACCGGTGCAGTCTGGGGTGACTTCCTGCGGAAGTCAATCACCATCTCCTTTGTCTTGCTGGCGTTGAGCTGAAGGTGGTTGAGCTCACTCCAGTCGACAAAGTCCATGATGACCTGCCTGTACTCCTGTTCGCTCCCCTTAGACACACACCCCACGATGGCTGTGTCATCGGAGAACTTCTGCAGGTGGCAGCTCCTAGAGTTGTAATAGAAGTCTGAGGTGTACAGGGTGAAGAGAAAAGGGGAGAGAACTGTCCCCTGCGGGGCCCCTGTACTGCAGACCACCATGTCAGACTCACAGTCCTGAAGCCTCACGTACTGTGGTCTGTTGGTGAGGTAGTCTGTTGTCCATACAGCCAGGTGACAGTCCACTCCCGCCCTCTCTAGCTTCCCCCTGAGCAGTGCAGGCTGGATGGTGTTGAAGGCACTGGAGAAGTCAAAGAACATGACCCTCACAGTGCTGCCAGTGTTCTCCAGGTGAGTCCAGGATCTCTGCAGCAGGTAGATGACGGCGTCATCCACCCCGATGTTCGGCTGGTAGGCGAACTGCAGAGGATCCAGATTTGAAGTCACCAGGGGGCGGAGGTTGTCCAGGACGATCCTCTCCATGGTCTTCATCAGGTGAGAGGTGAGGGCCACAGGTCTGAAGTGGTTAGGCTCCCTGAGGTGAGATGTCTTTGGGACTGGCACCACGCAGGAAGTCTTCCACAGAGTCGGTACCCTCTCCAGCCTCAGGCTCAGGTTGAAGATGTGCAGAAGGACCTCACAGAGCTGGTCTGCACAGTCCTTCAGGAGTCTGGAGCTGATGCCGTCGGGACCTGTGGCCTGCTTCGCCTTGATCTTCCTCAGCTGGCTTTTCACCTGATCAGCTGTTATGGAGAGGATGTCGGAGGAGGAGGAAGAAGAGGAGGGGGTTGTTGGGGGGTCGTCTGAGGAGGAGAGAGCTGTTGAGGGGGGTGGCAGGGTACTCAGGGTACTCAGATGGAGTGTCTGAGAAGCCGGCTGGTCTGCGCTGTGGTGGGTGGGGGTGGTGTTGGGAGCAGAATCAAATCTATTGACGAACAGATTCAGTTCATTTGCCCACTCCCTGTCTCCTGCTTCAGGGCCCCTCCCACGCCTTCTGCTGTGACCTGAGATGTTATTCAGGCCCCTCCAGACTTCTCTTGCATTTTTATGTTGTAAATGCTCCTCCATCTTATCCCGGTAGCTGGCTTTCCCCTCCTTGATTTTTATCTTGAGCTCCTTCTGCACCCTCCTCAGCTCCTCTCTGTCTCCAGATCTAAAAACCCTTCTCTTTTCATTGAGCAGGGTTTTCAGCTCAGGGGTCACCCAGGGTTTGTTGTTGGAGAAACACTGTATTTTTTTGGTGGGTACAGTGTTCTTAACACAGAAGTTTATGTCATCTGTGATGCAGTGAGTTAAACCGTCGATGTCCTCCCCATGTGGGCTGCACAGCACCTCCCAGTCAGTGGTGTCGAAGCAGTCCTGCAGCGCCTCAGTGGCCTCCTTAGACCACTTCTTCACATACCTGGTTGTGGGGGGGTTGTTTTTTCACCATAGGTATATAAATGGGCTGCAGTCTCACCAGGTTGTGGTCTGAGCGGCCCAGGGGGGGCAGGGGTGATGATCTGTATGCATCCTTGGTGTTTGCATACAGTAAGTCCAACGTTTTATTGTCCCTGGTATGGCAGTCAACATACTGAGTGAAAGTAGGGAGAGTGGCAGACGTGTGAAAACTCCCTCTCACAATGGAGCCGTGACTCAATGGGTCTCCCGGGGAAGTTTTAAAGAGTCCACAGAGAGAGAAAAACATCACCAATACTCCAAAAAGAAGAATATCCATGTTTGCTGTTTGGAGTTGGAGTTACTTGCGAAGTTACAGCAACAAAAAGTAAATATTAACAAAATAAACTAAAAAACAATAACGAGGGGGGGTCGGAGCTGCCGTAACAAGCGACCACCCAGAGCGGCGCCGGAAGTAACGTTCTATGGTGTGGACCCCAGCGGGCCAGTGAGTGTGACTCCCCAGCAGCAAACTGTCATATCAGCGTTTTCCAGCTCCGTTCACTGAGCTTATGATGCTGAAATGTTTCTGTTTAATTATAGTTGGTCATGTTCTTACAGTAAAGAATAATTAAACCATAATTAACCATCTGGTTTCTTCAACTTTCACTCAGGAACAAAAATCAGCTTTTAAATTTGAAAGAAATAATTATTGACAATTATTGTGATAATTATCGATATCGACTGATGTGAATTTTTTTATCGTGATAACATTTTTTTGTCATATCGCCCAGGCCTACTGCTAAGTGAATTGTAGAGTCACTTAAGACACAAACAGAATCCTGACTGAGTGAGAGACGGACGCTTCAGACGGTCTGTGTTGTGTTTAGGAAGCAGATGGATGAAGGACACTGATTCTCGCAGAGCTCGGAGTGTTTGAATAACTGTTGTGATTATCAGGAGGAAATATCTCAGTTTGGTGGAATAAAAAAGGTGTCTGATATCTACTTTTCCATCTTTAATAACCCTCAATAAGAGCGTCTGGAGAGAGAGACTGAGCACAGAGACATCTTAGGCAAGTCAAGACCACACTAACCGAGACCAAGACATACCCAAGACCATAGAGCTCTGAGACCAAGTCGAGACCAAGACAGAGAGAGACAGAACCAAGACCAAGACATTTAGGGATCCAGACTGAGACAAGACCAAGACATACCTGAGACAAGAGTGCTCCAAGACTGAGACAAGACAAAAAAATGTAGAGATCGAGATCGAGACCGAGACCGAGTCAAGACCAAGACATTTAGTGATTCAGGCCGAGTCAAGACCAGGACCATAAACATCACTGCAGAATCATCATCTTGTGTTTAGGGGGCTTGTCACTCACTTGGACTGTAACAACCTTGACCTTTTAGGCCGTAACCGGGGGATAACAATCTAAGTACCAATTAATTGTAGTTACTCGTTCTTTTAGAAAGAGGTGTTTTCCTTCTAATCACAGTGATGTCGTGGAAAGATTGCCTCTCAGGGATGGTCTTTACCGGCCTTCTTTAAAATCTGGAGTCTGCCTAGTCTGAGACCGAGACAAGACCGATTAAAAAATGCTTTAGATTCAGAGACGAGACTGATTTTCAGTACTATAAAATTAGCCTATACACTCGGAGCACAAAGCTGGCAGATTGATCATTAGTTCATGTTGTTTCTAATTATTTTTAAAAAAGTTGACAAAAGAGCCGGGTAACTGCCTCTGCCCTGCCTCCATCTGTTTTTCCCCTCCTCAGGTGATCCTGAACCCGACCACGAACAGTCCGAAGCAGACCGAGTTTCACTGCATGGTCGTCCCAAAGAACAGCCAGGACTCTGAGCTGAAGATCAAACTGGCCGTCCGCATGGACAAACCGCCCAACATGAAGCACAGCGGGTGAGTCACAGACTCTCATGTCCGTCCGTCCCGTCCCATCCCCCCCCCCCCAGCTCCTTTTTCCCGCCCCTCTGTTTGTCTTCTCATTGTAACTACATTTATACCTTTTATTACTTCCATTACATGAAAAACCAAAGAACTGACACATGGCGGTGTCTGAGTGGTGGAGTCGGTCATCTCTCAGTTGATTTCCATCAACCTGCACAAGATCTCACTTTAAAAATAATAAAACAAACTAGAAGAAGAACACTTTGAAACAAAAAAGGAAACACAGTTTAATATGTTGTTTCTGTTTTTTTTTAATCGAGAGATTGTCTGGCTTATTTTCAGGCTGACAGCGTCCCCTGCTGGTGAAAAGTGGAAACAGAAAGAGTGTGAGCTCAATCTGAGGAGCACAGCTTGTTAGTTTAAGTCCTGTCCCGTACATAAATACTTCATCAGTCGCTGCCTGTTTCTGCTCGTCAGTCGTCTAACATACTGCCTGTTCTGTCTGTGGATCAGCAAGACGTTCATCTCGTCCTGTTTTATTTAAAGGGCGAGAGTTTGAAAGCACTGTGGGTTCTACAAGAGGAAGCTTGGCCCAACGCTTTCAATACGCAGCGTCTGCTAAATCAAAGTGAAGAACTTCAGGAACAATACAAACTGCCTGAGCTTACACCACATTTTAAATAAGATGAACAACGGCCAACAACTGCTGACTAACTCACAGAGCATCACTTTACAGACCTGCAGCCCGTACTGAACAGTTTAAACGATGCACACTGTTTTAAGCTCTAATTTCTGATTTGATTTCTGTTCTGCAGTTTGAAATAACAACAACTAAAGTTTATTTGTGTAGAAATTATTAAAGCAAAGATCAGCAGAGTGGAGATGATCTTTGTTTTTAAAGCAGTGGTGGCACTTTCTGATTTGTCTTTTATTCGTTACTCCTCCCCTTTTGGAGGTTTTGGGGTAAGCCCAACTGGGAGGAGACCCCAGAGTATATAGGCCCAGAGTTCACTTGAGGTATTATTTATCCTGTCTGGCCTGAGGACCCCTCAGAATCCACCCAGAAGGAGACCCAAAGTGGGAAGTCTGGGTTGAATTACTTCACCTGATGCCACCCTGACTCAACCTTGGATAAGTGGAATGAAATGGATGGATGGATTGTAGTGACTTTTGTTTCCTCCAATTTATCTTTTTGTAATTCTTTAAAAAAACAACAGTAGATATCTTACATGTTGCTCCTTTAAGGCATAAAGGTTAAGGCAGCATTTTTGTTGTGAAGTTTTCAAATTCTGCCAACAGATGGCAGCAAAACATAATTTACAAACCCACAGACCTGCGCTGATGAAAAGTGTGTCGTGTGTGAACCAGCCGTTATGTCAATGATTGAATGGGAACATGGTTTAAATATCCTGTTTACTGTTTCTCAGATTGTAGCACAAACTCCAGATAAACTGTTAATAACGAATAAAAAAAATGAAGTACACGACCATAATGTGCTTAAAATCATTTCTACTTCTTCTTTTTATAATCCCCTAAATCATATTTTTGTTAAAAACGTTTAATTTCTGGACACAGGATGTGTCCGAGGTCACTAACTTGACTATTCTCGATGTCTGTACTCTGAAGGATTAAACTTTAGGTTCCCTGTTGGATCTAATGCAGCTTTTCGTTCTATTTTGTTGAAGTAAAACTTCCTCACGTCCTTTAAACCAAAACTTAACAGTCTGCGTAAGTCCAAATACTTAACTAAAACTTCTACATTGTACTTTCTTAATAATACTTTTTAAGTTATTCAAATACACATGTAGGCTTGTAGCACCATGAGAAAGACTAGTAATGGGTCTCCTCCCTCGCTTTTAGTCCGTTAAAAGAAAGAACGTCTCCCAAACTCCTTTACATCATCTAAATAGACGGACTATAGGAAGGCTAAATACTGGGTGCAGTTTCCAAAATAAACCACAAGGGGTCATTGTTTGCTTCTTAGTGAGTCCAGCAGGTCTCCTGGCTCTTCTTCATGTGTTTAAACTTGCTCTCTGTCATTTCTGATTTATTAAAGACACAATCTGTGACAAACCTGCTGATGGTTAGCCTGCTGATGGTTAGCATCTTATGTTTTTATTTAGGTAGGAAGCTTTAATCTAAAAAACTGACATCTCGGACCAGAGGAGACCATTATGTGAGACTCTGTTTGGACCAGAGGAGACCATTATGTGAGACTCTGTTTGGACCAGAGGAGACCATGGTGTGAGACTCTGTTTGGACCAGAGGAGACCATGGTGTGAGACTCTGTTTGGACCAGAAGAGACCATGATGTGAGACTTTGTTTGGACCAGAGGGAACCATGGTGTGAGACTCTGTTTGGACCAGAGGACACTGAGTGTCTCCTGTTCAGATGCTCGCAGTGTGAGCAGCAGCGGTTGTGAGATTCAAAAGCTCGCTTTCTCTCTGGCTCGTCTCGAAGGTTGAACACCCAATCAGAACTGGGATGGCAGTGGAATAAAACACCCTGCAGTCGACCATTTTCATGATTATACTTCCGATTTTTTCATTTCAATTAAATCAAGACGAAAAACTGCAAAACCGTTTTTTGCTTCCCTCCCCATCAGAAAAGATTCCTCTATTATATTTCAGCAACACGGCGACTCAAAGAGCTTCACACACGAAACGTCAAAGAGACATTAAAAAATAAAACTTAAAAATCACTAAAACAAACACTTAACAATCACAGAGAACAATTAATAAGAACATGTGTAAAAATATAAACATGACAAACCACACGGGCGATCTTCTCATCTGCTGTCCACATGATGTTTCCTACCATCACCTGCAGAGAGACATGAAGACTGGCCGCGCTGTGCACAGGTCGATCACGTTTGGATGATTTTACATATTTACATAAACTACTGGTCAAAAGTTTGGACACACATCAGTTACAGTATTATCAATAATACAGTATACTACTGTATATTATCTTATAGCTACTAAGATGTATCTAAAGCACACCTACTAATTGAAGGGCTTTTCTTTATTTTTAGAGTTTTACACATTTCAGAATAAGAGTAGATATTAATATTATTTTATTTTTGTTTTGGAGAGAAATGCATATGTCACTTTTTCTATTTATATAAAAAACACATGACAAACATTTAAGCATCAGCCTACGGTGGCTGGGAAGTGCAAAACAAAATGGCAAAGTGTGAAACACTTTTACGAAGCTTGAGACAAATTTACATTTTGAAAAACATTTCTACATTTCATAAAACAAATTTACAAAACCAAAACCCTTTTACCAAGGACAGAACACATTGATATTTTATTAAACACATTTACAAGATGTGAAACACTTTTGAGCGCTGAGACAAATTTACAAATGGCAGAATCTTGACAGAAAGGGAAAGTACCAAAAGCAGGAATTGACCCAGACGTGATTGAGTGAGGGGTCATTTTGTCTGTTTAGGTGAAAGGCATTCACACATGCTGCTCCTCAAGGGAATATCAGGAGTGTTTCAGGAGATTTCTGCAAGCATTTCTGCAAGATTTTGTGAAAGCAATATAAGTAACTTTTAATTAAAATAGATTTTAAACAAGCTGCGTTTTAGGAGAATATTTTAGAACTCTTCTTATTTTTGTCTTGTTACTGCTGCTTAACTTGGATTTCCCCCTCTGTGGAGATCTTATCCCGTTATTACTCAAATCATCCTGTTTTTTATTGGAGTCGATCTACAAAGACTGAGGATTAAAAACAAAAAAACAAAAGTATATTCATTTTATTTCTGCAGATTAGATTATTTCCTTTACGGGCATGTTCAACGTTAATACTTTTATTTTCAGCAGAGACTGAACTGCCTGAATTAAATATTGTGTCACTCAATTTAATGCAACAAAAACTCTTCATCTGGAATATTTTAATAATGCAGGATTATTTCTTTTAAAACATTTTATCTTATCATAACTGTGCTCTATTCAGTCACTGACATCTATGGATGTAATGAAACTCTACTTCCTCCTGCGTTTGTTACCAAAAGTAAAAAACATGACCTCCCTCTCTCCCTCAAAGAGTGAAAATCTGTCTAAATGACCAGTTAAAGATGTTTTGGTTTTTTGCAGTAAGGACTGTTAAATGCCTGCAGTGAACTCTTTGGCGTCTTCAGTCCATCAGCGCGGCGTCGTGCGGCTGAATGAAAGTCTTAAAACCCTGCAGGAAGGACGCTCCACGACCAAATCATTTTTCACAAGTGGCCGGCGAGCGGTGCCACATGTTAACCCCGCCGTGGCCCAGATTCTCCAGTCCTAGACGCGCCACAGCCTTGACTGGAGGCCTTTTCTTTGAGGGCGGGAGGCAGGGCTGAAGAAAGAGGTCTCGCCATCGATTGATTTTCCTCACTTGCACTTGCCTGTGTCCCACGCCTTCAGGAGGCCCGGGAGCAGCCATCGATCGAGAGGCCGCGCCGGTCATTCTTCCATTTTTCCTCCAGTCGTCCTCAATGAGCTGCTGTCTGTGTCACGGCCTCTCTGAGCGCAGGACTCATTACTTTCTCCTTTTAGCTTTTTCTTTAGAGGGGGGGGGGGGTTAATGTGGTAATGGAGTTCACAGCTGGGGGAGTAATAACGCTGTAATGTGGTATTGTGATAGAAAATCGGATGAATTGAGGAGCTTTTAAAGACTCTCTCATATGTGGCAGACGGCTCAACTGCTGCATAAACATGTCCAGTGAGACAGAAAATAAAACATTTAGCATCTCTATCCAAACATATCCTGCTGTAACATTAAAAATCTACAATGTCTGGAAAGTGTCAGGTGATTTAAAAACCATAAATCATTCCCTCAAATTATTGTCCCACTGGCTGCGAGTCCCACTGGCTGTTTTGTTGTCAGGGCCGTGTTTACATGGACGGGACGGCCGGCTCCTCCCCTTGTGTATAAAAGCTGTTTTAGTCAAGAACTAGAGAGAAGAAGAAGAACATACTTTGTTAAGGTGTCAGCGCTGAGTACATCATTCGTGACTAAAACGTTACTTATAATTCATTGATGTTATATTTAAAGGTCACATATTCTCTTCAACCAGTTTAAATAAGTTTTAGAGCTTCTCAAAACATGTGTGTGAAGTTTCTTGTTCTAAATCCACTCTGATCCTGTATTTGATCATGTCTATAAACCCCTCTATTTCAGCCCTGCTCAGAACAGGCTGTTTCTGTGTCTGTAGCTTTAAATGTAAATGAGCTGTGTCTGACCACGCCCCCTCTCTGGAAGGGCTTGGGTGTCTTGGTCTTTCTCGCTCCATGTCCTATTGTTTACGGTGAGAAGGCAGACTCAGAGGGCAGAACAAACACCTAGCTGTGGGAGTGTCACCCACCTGGGCACCAGGGAAAATCTCCAAACGGCCTATTTGAGCACACATTTTCTGAAAAGTGGAGCAGGCAAAAGACGGAGAGGATGGACTTTTGTCATCATTGGAGGGTTTTTAGACAGACTAGGGACACAAATTAGAGTTAGAAAAACATGGTTAAGGGTATAACACTTCACCTTTAAAACATACAACTCATAAATTAAAAATAGAACAATCTCTGGATTTTTTTCCTTTAAGTTAACATCTTGATGATCATTGTCTTTCAGGCACCTGTACGCTCTGGGACAGAGAGTCTGGAAACGCTGGAAAAGACGATATTTTGTTCTTGTTCAGGTAAGTGATCAATTAGAAATGTGTCTTCAGATCAGCTCAGGGGGGAAACTGCAGGATCTGAATGGAGCGTGATCGTCAGTGAAAATTATGAAATTAATCTTGTGTTTTATGGCACATTAAACACAAGATGTTTTATATAAACTGTACCTTTCTAGAAATGCATTAGATCGTGAACATGTCCTCACATTGAGCGTTTCCTTTTTCTTTTAGCATTTTCTAGAAAAACCTTTCAAAATCCATCAAAATCAAAATGTTTTAGTTTGTTTCCTAAGAACACAGTGCTGTAACTCTGGTTCGTGTGTGCGTGCGTGTGTGTGATTTGAAAGAAAATTTGAAAGCCATTTGAAAGAAAATCCCCCTCATACAGTGTGTGCCCATGAGGACAATAACTATTCAGACCTATTTAGTTTTTTTTTAACCAGGCTGTAAACATGTTTATTTATGCTGTAAAAACATCTTTTTTGAATGGGTGTGTATGTGACTTCCTGTGTTCCTGGAGCCAGCCTCTAATGGACACTTGGCGAACTACAGGATTTTGCACTTCCACAATGGCTTCATTTTCATTTGGGCAACAATGTTGTTTTCTGAATTTTAGCAGGAGGAATCTTAAATCAATTCTGTATTAAATTTGTGGTTGGCTGCTGCTGCACACAGTTTCTTTTATTTAAACCAAGTGATGAAGCAGCCCAGACAAAGCATCCATGGTGATATATAAAGCAGCACTGTGTGTGTGTGTGTGTGTGTGTGTGTGTGTGTGTGTGTGTGTGTGTGTGTGTGTGTGTGTGTGTGTGTGTGTGTGTGTGTGTGTGTGTGTGTGTGTGTGTGTGTGTGTGTGTGTGTGTGTGTGTGTGTGTGTGTGTGTGTGTGTGTGTGTGTGTGTGTGTGTGTGTGTGTGTGTGTGTGTGTGTGTGTGTGTGTGTGTGCGTCCTGCAGGTGAGTCAGTACACATTTGCCATGTGCAGCTACAGAGAAAAGAAGGCCGAGCCGGTGGAGCTGATGCAGCTGGAGGGCTACACAGTGGACTACTGCGACCCTCAGCCAGGTAACACACACACACACCTGAGCTGTCTGACACACTGTAACAACATGCAGAGAAGACATATATTTTAGAGGCAGTGATTAGAAAAACTCAAACTAATATTCTGTGATTATTTCAGCAGTTTTTGGAAAATATGCAAAGAGCATCAAGTGGATTGTTGCACCTTATCCTAAAGTCTTGGTGATATTTTTGAAGTTGAGAGATGATACAATGATACCATGTTGGGGCAGTCCTCTGTTCCACCCTTTGCCCTCTGCAACAAATACGGTCACAGCTGTTTCATCCCTTTTCAGACCAGAGTCCTCTGCAGACTAGAAACCTAGACACTTGAAGTCTGCGAGGCTCAAGTCACCACGGACGGACTCAGCCAATCACTGAAAAAAAACCAAAGAAAAAACGTCCAAATGGTTTGGACACAAAAAACAAACTATGACACCTCATCTGTAAGTCAGAATCAACGAGTACATCATCTTTATCAGTCAAACTTTTTGCAAAACACAATTTTTGTGTTGGGGAATACAAAAACAGAAATGAACAAAGGCTCAAAAAAATTAAAATGGACACAAAAAGATATATTTAACAGCCCTAAAATAATGAAAATGCTCAGCCATAGTAATGAGTTTGTTGCCCAGGTTAAGAACATAATTCAGCCAGGTAATATCACTCCACAACATGGATCTAAAATTTGGAGGAAGTTTGTGTGAACTTTGACTCTATTTATCTAAAATAAGGAGGCAGTATTATTAGTCTCCAGGAACTTTGTAAGCAGAGGGTCGCTGGTTCAAGTCCTGATGCAGACCAAAATATGGGATACTTCCTGAGTACTGCAGAGGTGGCCTTGAGCAAGGCACCGGACCCCTACAGCTCTGGTGCGCTCCCTGTGTAGCAGCCCCCCCTCCACTCTGACATCTCTATCTATGTGCACGGGTGTATTTCAGGTTTCTCTCATAACACATCATCTGCTCACAGCAACAAAAGAGGAGAAGTTGGTTGCGCTGGTGGTGCAGTGGTTGGTGCGTGTGTGGAGGCTGTCGTCTCAAGCGGGCGGCCCAGGTTCACATCCCACCTCCTTCCCGCATGTCATTCCCCACTCTCTCTCCCTTATTTCCGACTCTATCCACTGTCATCTCTATCCATTAAAGGCACAAAAAGCCCCAAAATAAATCTTTAAATAAAAAAGAGGAGAAGTTGTTACACCTTCATGAAAGTCTGTCCTGGAGTTGTGTTAGTGCTGTTCTCTTGATTAAATAAAATATGAATCTCTCATTTTCCTCTGCCCCCCCTCCTCCTCAGGTCTGCAGGGCGGTCGGGTGTTTTTCAACGCGGTGAAGGAAGGCGACCTGGTGATGCTTGCCTGTGACGACGAGCAGGACCGGATGCTGTGGGTCCAGGCCATGTACCGAGCCACGGGACAGTCCTACAAACCGGTCCCACCGCTGCAGAACAAAACTACAAACTGTAGAGGAGGACTGCAGAAACCAGCATCCCCCATCAGTACGTTCTGATTCTCACACACTTTTTATTTTGTTATTGAAACGGCATTAAAAACATCACATTAGACAGTTAGACAGTGTCCACAGCCTCAGGGGAGCGAGGTGAAGCGGTTATTGTTGGTAGTTTTGAGATTGCCCCGAAGTGTGTGACAACATTACAGAAGGATCTGCACAGAGACAGAATTTCTCCTGAAGAGTAAGATGCTTTTTAAAGTCTGTAACAGCTGTTTTATGGATCTCTTTAAATCCACTGGAATCTTTTCATCAAAACAGTCATGTTACCCTGCAGACTGCAGGAATCAGAAGTTTGCAGTCTGCCTCAATCTGTACGTTTGTTTGTGTTTTTCTGTTTCACACAAACATTTTTTTGTAACCAAACTATCCCTACAAATCCACAAAATCAGTAAAAACCACAACCAAAATGTAATGCCTCCCTGTCTCTATGATAAAGGCACAAATAGCCCCAAAATACTTCTTTAACCTTTTTGATGTCAGACACTTCAGCCACTTTTACACCAAAGTGATCGTCTGACTAACTGTTTTCCGTTTTAAGATAACTTCTGCGTTCAGACGGCATCAACTGTGTAACAAGAGCACTTCAGATGACTCACTCTATACTTCGACTCTACCGTGTAGACATTAATTAACATCCGGCCTGAGTTTGATCCTGGTTCACAGGTCCAAGAAGTCAATTTGTTGTTTGTCATTTCAAAAACAGACCTCTTAGATTCATCTGTGACATCAATTAAACCTTTTATTTTTCCTCTCCTCTCGTTCTCCATTTTCAAAACGTTCTTGTTTCGTTGACCTTTTCCCCACCTTCTTTCCAACCGTATTAATGACTGGAACTGTCCTTTTACGTTGTAGATTACAAAGTGAATAAAATACCACCAACAGTGTGAGTTCATTTATTAACGTGACCCTCATTGTGTCATGATTGTCAGACCCCGATCGTATTTGCCTGCGCCGTTAGCCGGACAAAATAAGTTTGACAAAGTTATGGATTAACAGAAAATGTACAAAAAGTACGAGTGAGGAAGAAGATCGGCCTGCACACTCGCTCAAATGCCACAAAAAGATTTCTTCTTCGGGTGATCATTTTTGAACGTCTGGTCGAAACGTTGTGTGCGTATAACTACCTTTTTCTTCCGAGAAGTATGAAACAATTTAATTTTCACTTTTAGAAAAACTAAGATTCTGCGATGAAAACATCGCCAGACATCCTCCCTCGCCACAGAGCGTCTCCCAATAAGCCCAGCGCCTGTTTGAAACACACAAACACAGACAGATCTCATGCTGCATGGAGGAGTTTTCATTATTTGTTAGCAGAGTGCTGATTGGTTACAGGTCCACACACACACACACACACACACACACACACACACACACACACACACACACACACACACACACACACACACACACACACACACTCTGGGTTTGGACAGATAGAGCAGGTGAACAGGGTGCAGCTTTCTCTGCTGTGAGAGACAAAAACTCCCGCTGGGAAGAAATGAAGGAAGGAGATGAAGGGACAAAGACTCAGAGAGAGTCTCTCTTCTTTAACACATTCAGACTTCTTCTTACACAGTTTGTTGTTTGGAGAATATGACTGCTGCTTTAAAATCTTTAATCACAGTGTCATATAATGAGCAAACGTACAGATATCTAACTCCAGGCATGCAGTAAAAGATGCTTCCTTCCTTCCTTCCCTGCATCTCGGTCCTCCCCTCCCTCCTCCCATATGTCTCCGTCTTTAGACCTTCCCTTTTCTCCATAGCTGATCTTTTTCATCCCTTTCCCTCATCTCTATCTTTATGCATTTCTTCTTCTTCTCTCATCTATTCTTTGGTCATTTCCTTTATCATCCCTTCATCCCCTCTTTCTTTACTTCTCCTTCTCACTCTTTTCATCCATCAGTCTTTTCTCTCTTTTCTCTGTTTCGTCTTCCGTTCATGTTTGTGTATTTTCTGTTTCTCCATTCTGTCCTTTTTTTTCTTCTGCTCTCTTTTTGCCTGACATTTTCTCTGTTTTTAAATTGTATTATCACATCCCCCCCTTCCTTCCTCTCCCTTCCTTTTTTGTATCAACCTGTCCCACTTCAACACTTCCACCTGAGCATACATTTATGTTTCTCTTTTACCTCTTTTACTAATTATATTTAAACTACTGCAGAAAACACAATTCTTACCTTGCATTAGTGATGCAGTCAAGACAACATCAACCGAGACCAGAATGCTCTGAGACCGAGACAAGACCAAGACTGAATTACTTACTACTGAGTACTACAACACTACCTTCCAATATTTACCTTTCAGACTCTGCATTAAACATATACTTTATTTTTTTCTCTGCATTATAAATGATCTGCTGCACATGTTTCCTACATCCACACGCCCCTCTTACTTGGATGTGAGTTGTTTGTAGCTTTTCTAATGTCGTACTTTTGTGTATAATGACAATGATTGTGAATATTTATTCTTTTACATATTTCTATAATCCCGTTGTTTGCTTCTAAAAAATTAACATGATGTCTCGTTTTCTCATCCTCCATCGTTCTCTCCTCCTCTTCTTCTTCTCCTCTTTCCTTTGCTCTGCTGATCCCTCGTTATTCTTCTCTTTCATTCTACACTCTGCTTCTCATTAGTTTCTTGTCCTTTCATGTTTCCTCTCCCTGTCACTCATTCACTTTTTACACTCCTCCTCTTTTCTCAATTGATTTGTCCCTCTCTCCTTTCTGTCTTTCTTGCCCTCTTTTTTTATTCATCTTTCTTTCAAAACGTTTTATTTTTCCATTTTGACTTTGACATATGAATCCTCTTCATCACGTCCTTCCTCCTATCTTCTCCCCTGTGCATGTATCCATCTTTACTCTCGTCTTTCCCCTCACCTCTCCTGCAGCTCTTCTTCTTTTCTTTGCTCGCTTTCTCATCCTTCTCCTTTCCCTGCATTTTTTCTCTAAATGTTATCGTACTTCCTTTCTTTTTTTAATGCATTCCCTCTCTCTCCTCCTGCCTTCCTTTCATTCTTTCCTCTTTATTTGCATTGCTCTTTGCATGCTGCTTCTGCTCGGCATCACCAATTTATTAGAAAGAAAATCACGACGTGATTCCTCTGAACCTTCGTCGAGTGTGTGCAGGATTTTTGTTCTTTTCAGTATGACGGTTTGACGTCCTGCGCAGCTTCTTAATGAGACATCTGGAAGTGTGAACTCCTCCTTTAAAACATACGTCTTTGTTTGAAAGATGCTTTCTTTAAAATCTTTATGTCCTTCATTTTTTCCTTACATCTCTATTTTTCATTCCTCCCTCACTTGTTCAATACTTTCTTAGATTATTCTGAATTTTCTGTCTTTGAGATCTTTATTTCCCCCTGTCTTCATCTCTTTTTTCGTCCTTTGTTTCAGTCGTCTTTTATTTATTCCCAAAGCGTTAGTATTTCCTGATGTTTCCCCTCCAAATGTTTTGTATTGTGTTTTGGAAACATGCGCGTCCTGGTCTTTCTTTTCCTCCTCTTCCTCTCATTCCCCGACAAATCATTCTGTTCATTATCTGTGCACGAGTTGAGGACGGGCCTCCTCCTGGCCCGAGCTTTGTGACATGAAGAGCGTCACACTGAGAGCTGATTACGGCTGTATTTGTGTAATTTGGAGCGGCGGCAGCGGCGGCGGCCTAGCTCTCGCTGCCGCTCGTTAGCGTTTAATGGAACAGATTGATCGTTAATGGCGAGAGGTGCTGACACGCTGTTTGCAGGAGGAAATAGAAGGTGTCCCTGAAATAGCTCTTAACTGGGCGCTAAGTGCTACTCCGCGTGTGTGCGTGTGTGTGTGTCTGTGTGTGTGTGTGTGCGTGCGTGTACTTGACAGAAACTCATTCTCGCTGTAGTGATGATCGGGCCGGTGGACCTTCGTACTTGTTTGCGCTCACCATGTAGCCGTCACGCATAAAAAAAATAAAAAAAAAATTATGCAGAGGTTAAATAACGCTGGTGACTGCGTTTGTACTAACTGACGACCACTCGCATTCAAAGACTGTTATTTTGCACCAATCAAATTATTCTCTTGACGCGGTGTCCAGCACAAACAAGCCTTTCTTCTTATCTGCTCGGAGGTTAATAACGTGCAGTGAACAGGTGAGACAATGAGAGCCGAGACGCCGCGTCCCTCCTCTGAGCATCTCCAGGTTCACGACTGTTTTCAACTGCGTGTCTTTGGAGGCATCAACAGAGCACAAAGAACGAGCACGCGGCCCAATCAGATGTTATCGACCGGTGTGCGAGGAGCAAATAATGAAGCTGAGCACAAGTGAAAGTCATGTTCAGCCCTCACACACACACACACACACACACACACACACACACACACACACACACAGAAAAAAAAACCCTGAACTCTTCTGAACCTGGAGGCACAACAGCTGATCTGAGCCTGCTTCAGTCGACTCTGAGAACGCTGCGCGCGTGATGACTATAAAAAGCCATCATCAATGGAGCTCTGATACTACAAATCACCATGGCAACGTGCGCTGGAAGAAGAAAAAGAGGTCATCCTACTTCACCCCGTTGGAGTTAGAAGTTGGAAAACGTGCTCGCTGCGACTACGAGCACATTTTCAGAATAAAGAAGCTGCAGCGGGAGGAATGAGTGTTTCTGCGGAAGACAACGGGTGAATGAGGCGGCGTGTGTCGGTATGAAGGCAGCAGTTTTTTTTAATGAAACATTCAAACACGGTTTAATATTACAGGTGAAAACATGGTGACATGTCTTTGAATATAGCTCTAACCTCTGAAGCAGCTGGAAATTAAATGTTAAAGTACAATTCACACAGATGAAGCTAATTTGACCCCTGACCCCTCTCGATTGTTTTTATTCTGTCTCGCACTTTAAACAAAGTCTTTTAGTAGATATTCATATGTGTGGTAGCTTTAAGCCTAATCACAAACTGTTCTTAAATCACACTCACGTCTTCTCGCCTTGACGCTTGCAAAACAGTGACCAGAGGTG